TAATATTAATATCAGATGTCTAATGATCCTCAAGTTGATTTGTTGAATATGGATCACACAACAGGAGAGTTTTTATAAATGCCACTAAGAAATAATTTTTTTTAAAGATTTGAAACTGAGTTTTTAGCAGAACCTTGGGATGCACCAATTGGACCAGCCAAGAAGAATAACTAAAAAGTCAGATCAATCAAATTTAAACATCCAATATCTCGTTTATAACCTAGGTAATTAACAACAGAACCACCAATTACTCCTAAAAGACCTAAGAGTTGCCAACAAAAAAATTAATTCTTAGATCTAGGAATACCAGCTGCTACTCCTACTTATAATAAAATCATTTAAAGAATTATCATTTCTTCACCACACAAATCATCAAGGAAAAACTCAACTAGTTAATATCGATAAAAATGTTTATAGAGTATGTTGGTTGCTTAAAAGTAAAATAGTTAATTATAAAATTTGACGCATTCATCAAGTACTTACTTCAATTTTATTTCATAAATAAATCCTGTATCTTAAAAACATAAAACAAATAAAGAACCTTAGTTTAAAGCATATAAATTTAAACTAAAAAATATGTTAAACTGATATCATAATATAATTTATATCTATTATCATTTTAGTTGATTACTGTCATTGAAATTATAAAGCAATATTATTAAATTATTACATTTTTCATTTATAATTAATTTTTTACAAATACTTAAAGATGCTTATCAATAATAAAGATTTTACATGACTATTATGTATAAAATATATTTATATACTTCATTCTTTTTTAAAATATTTGAAATTTTTAATATTCTAAACTTAACTCATTTTTAATATTTAGATTTTTTGACTATTTGTCTTGAAAATTAGAGAGTTTCTTTCAAATTATTAAGTTTGACTTAATATATAATCTTAGCTATCTTGTTGATTCTCCTATTTTTCTTTATGAATGACAAATAATATATTAAAAACTATTATTTTATGATTTGCAACAATAAATCTTGATTTTATTTATTTCTTAGATTTATAAATTACTTTTATTTTAAATTAAACAAGAAAAAGTGTAATCATTAACCAATGATTAATATAGATAATTATTTAATAAAGTCTATTCATTTATTATGTTCTTATTATAGTTTCTGTATATATAATTTTAAATATTACTTAGACTTTCTAATTATAAATTAAATAATTATAAATATTATAAATTAAAATGGGAGCATCATGTGGTAGTATGAATTCCTCAATAATAAGAAGAGATAGTGGAAATGGAAATATGGGATCTAACATTATTTTTGTTTAAGCCCCTTTTGATCCAAATTTGAAGATAGAGGATATTGGATTAAAAAATGTGTTAACTGATTTTGATAATTTAATTGCAGCTCTATAGCAAGTATTAAATAATTATGATATGATTAGTTATAAGGAGAAGTACTCAAAATTCCAAGTAAAATAAATGAAATATAAATATAATGAAAATTATATCATTTTTTCTTTGTTAATATTTTTTCAGCTTCTTACAATAATTATGATCCATCTAATCTTGTGTTCCAATTTAATTTATATTATTCCAACAACTTTTCAATCTATTCTTCATCTTTTTCATTTATCTTTTTGACTTCTTGTTCAGGTTAGACTTCATCATCTAAATGAACTTCAACATCTTTAAAATTAAACTCGTCTTCTTCTTATATAGAATCTTTGTCTTCTTCTTTTTCAATTTATACTGGATTTTCTCCTTTTAATCTACCAAAAATATTGACTTCTTAATAAGTAGTCATTCTTAATTCATATAATGAATAATATCTAAATATATTATATATACATATCACCTATAAAAATAGTTAGTCATAAATTTATTGAATTCAATAATATGCTCTTAAGTAAATATGGGCAAATTATATGTATTTGTCAATAATATCTTAGGTCTGAGTAATTTTTTTAATATTTCATATGAATCTATTTATGTGATTTTGCGTTCTAAACTTTCTACAAATATATAAAATCCTAATGACATGAAGGCAGATTTCTATTCAAAAGTATAATTTTTAAGATAATTGTGCATTTGTAATAAGTATTCTGAAAAGACAGCTAATTTACATTATTATTGAGACTCTTCTGTGGCCTAGGAATAAATGATTTAAAAATTTACTTTAGATATTGTTTATGTTTGATAATATTAAAAGGAAATAAGTTCATAAACTGGGAATGTGAATACTCCTCCTTTTTTATGACCTACTTCAAATCGCATGATGACAGTTTTAAGAAATTCCCTTTATTGATTTTATGTTTCTAAGGAGGCCAATTTAATGATGTCTTTTCTTGTTACAAAGGAATCATAGAAAGAGTAAGATTTATTAGAATCAAGTTTAGTTTTCTTTTTAGTTTGATGTCTATTGGAATTGGTGTCTGGAGAACTCATTTATTTAATTAATTTAATGTCGGACAACGAAAATATAGATATAACAAATCTTAGTGAGGGGAAAATTGAGAAATATATCCAGTAATTAGAGACCTCTATTCAAAAGAGAACTACAATGTATGGATTAGATGATTTAACAGTAAGTGATTGAAATTAACGAAATATTAGATGATGAGATAAAATCAAATCTTGTGTAAATTATTGAATCAGCAAGGTCTTATAGCTCTATAAAAATAAAATTACGAATAATGTATTGAATATTTACGAAAAGCAGAACTGGCTACAATTTACGTACCAGAATTAAAGGTTTGTTTTAACGATAACATAGGTTCAAACATTTAATAATTTGGCTTGTTATTATAGAAAGATGGGAAAAACTAGAACTGCTCTTTAATATTTACAATAGGCATTGTAAATTGAATTATAGTATTGATAATCTTAAATTAGATAAAAATAATCCACTTCACTCCCTGACATTTATTTAAATTTATGTGCAGTTCTTTCTTAATTAGAAAGACATGAAGAAGCTATACAACATATATATTTGTCAATTATTATGTTACAACATGAATTACTTATATCTTAATTGTAAAAACCTGAATAAAAATAAGATTAATCTAATGAATAATGTATATGTTTAATATTCTATTTTAAGCTTTCCCATCAAGATAATCAAGTTTTTAATATGTAAATACTGTTAAATCACATTATAATGAAAGTAAAAAAATATAAGAAAGAATGTCAATTTTAGTTGTTGCATATCATAATCTAGGAGTTGAAATGGAACATTTAAAATTATAATTTGAATCCAAGAAAATATTTCAATCTGCTTTATAATTATCAGAATAATGTTTACCTTAAGAACATCAATTAAGACATGCTCTAGAAGAAATAACTAAAAAATATAATTAAGAATAATAATAATAATAACAATAAGTAAATGAGTAACTTACTCTTAAACCACTTCTTCCTAAAGTTCATCAAAAAAATTCAGAACTTAAATAAATATATAAAAGTGTCTCTCCTAAACAAATTCTTAGAAGAAATACTTAGTTGCAATAGTAGAAAATCAATCCTAATAAGAATCTCAAATTTATGAAAAAGAATTCATTTAGTGAAACCTATAGACTTGAAAGAGATAGAATTATGAGTATCAATGCAACAGCTGAAGTTATTATCAAGAATCAAGAAAATAAAGACTTAAGCAATTTTCCATATTTGAAAACAGCCGTAGATACCGTTAATTAAACATCCATATTTTGAAATATAATACTTAACTTTATACACAATAAGATATATTAGCAATATTTTATCAATTTTAGATTAATTTAACTTTTTATAAAACATATCATATCTCATATCTCTCTTACTTTCTAGAAAGTATATTTCATTTTTTATACAAATTTTATTTATGGATTTGTAATTTAATTAAAATAGTTTATATTAGAATGCTTACCGAACCAAATATTGATCGTAGTTTTGTAGAAGATTAAATTAAATTGCTTTAAAGAGATATCAATTGCATTATAGATTAAGTGATTTTATTTACTATTATTTTAGGATAGAAATTTAAGAAAATAAGGATTAGCAAAATTGTAAGATTTCTTTAAAGTCAAATCGAATGCTTCAGAACGTATATATATTTTTGATGCATATGCTCTTAAAAATCTCTTAAGAGTATTTGAAGACTAAGTAGAAAGAAATAGAGAAACTGGTATAAATATAGTGTTAAATTATCTTGATCTTCATGATTAAAATTTTAATACAGAAACACTTAGATTAATTATTGATACAATTATTAATAGACTAAATTAATTACCATTTGCAGAAACCAGTGAAGAAATTAGATTGGCATTAATAAAATTATTACATCAAATCTAAGTAAAACACATTGATGCTTATACAAATAATCAATAAAGATTAGCACATATGATTGGAAAAGTACTTTAAGATAATTTCCCAGAAGTCAAAAAAGTAAAATAAAAAATATAAATTGAAAGGATGCAGCCATATTTGCAGCTGAAATTTCAAAGAAATTACCAATAGGAGAGTATATGGGAGAAGCAGTAAAATCTTTAAATTTAAATATGCAACATGCTCATACAAAAATTAGAAAGGCAACTGTTGATGTAATATAATATATTTAATATTTATAAGAGTATAGCTCCTATTCTATTAAGTAGAACTAATGGAACATTTTTAGAGATTGTTTTAAATAATTTAAGGAATCTCTCTTTAGATAAATCATCTGATGTAAGAAAAGGAACTCTGATTGCAGTTGCTGAATTATTAATGCACTTTTCTATTCAAAATCTGAATAGTTATGAAAATAATCTAATTCTTATATTAATGAACAGTTTAAGTGATGATAGTAAAGAAATATAAAATTTGGCTATGTAACTATTAGATTAGATTGGGTTAAAAAGATAAAAATTAGATGAAGAAGCAAATTTATGATATATATTTAAAGTGTAAATACTAATGTGCATATGTTTATAAATAATATTAAAAATATATATTATAATTTCTAAAGAATTAGTAATAATTATATAAATTGTAATTAATTGAAAAAATAGATAAAACTTTTTCACAAAAAATAGGTTGTTAAAGTGTTGCATAAATTATTAAAATCTAATAACGAAGCTCTTAAAGTTTCCATTGTATTACTAGTTACTGTATATTCAGTCTTACTTTTTTCAACTAACATTTATGCCATCACTTTAATAACTTCTTATAATTCATCATTTGCAATTCTATTATAAAAATAATATTTACTTCGAATTTGATTTTTATTTTTTTTCACTTAAACTTTCTATATATTATGGACTTTGTGCTTATTATATTGAACCTACAGATAAATCATTATTTTGAAGTAGAGACACTTATTTTTTTTTGATTTATGACATAAATTTATCTACTGCATTTGCATCATTAAAATCAATTTAAAATTATATCTCATCTAATTATGATCTTGGACTTTATGCATCAAATTATTAATTAATTTCACTTAAATCATCATAAAGAGATACAGATTCTTTTTTTTATTATTTTTCACTAAATGAGAATACTGAATCTTATCTACTTTTTGACATTCTTAATTTTTATTATATCTTTTTGCCAGATTAACTAAATTTTGGTAATTAATAATCAATTTCTGATGAATTATCTTCTTCTTCATCACATTCAACAATTGCATTATGTTAACTTCTTCTAGAATTTATAAATAAGCTTTCAACTAATTAAGCATTATCTTATTTAGAAAATGATTTCATTTATAATTTCAGATCACTATCTGGAGCACGACTACTAATATCATCTGATTCAAAAGAATTTAATTCTACTTAAAATATCATTTTTTCTAATACACTTCTTACAACTTCTTAACACATTGTTTCTTCCATTCTTTATAATGATTATTAAGATCTTTTAGAAAATGATTCCAATTATAATTTAAGTTTATCTGCCTCTTTTTATGATTGAGAACCTTTTAATTAAAGTTCTTCAATTATATTTTCTTTTTATTTTAATTAAGATTATAATTAATCAATATAATCTTCTAATTATTAAATTCTAAATTACATTTCATAAACTATTTAACCTTCATTAACACCAGAAACAGTAATTGATTTTTTCAATTCAATATCAAAATTTTGTTCATTTACATATGATTAATTTGTTTAGTATTCATATTTAGAATTATTTATATATTAATTGTAATTATTATATTGTGAATTTTTGCCTTATTATATTTATACTAAAAGTTCATTATGTTTTTCAATTAATTATTAGACTTATAATTAATAATCAGCATTTTTATTAATAAGCATTTAATTTTCATGATTCAATTACTTAAGTTTTTATTAATTAATAGTCTATATAGTAGAATATTAATCTTTAATTAAATTAATTTATTTTTAGATTTCTTGATATTCTATTTATACTTTATTAAGATGTTCATTTTTCATTTATAATTCTTATTGATATACAAATTCATTCTATTCTTAATGTTCCTTTTATTTTTTTAATTTAATTTCATATTATTCAAGTCTTTTAGTAATTTCATTATTGACTGTTTCTAGATCTTTAATTTAAATTTATAGTTTAGATTACTCTTATTAGAATACTACTTTTTATTCTTGTATACATTCATCAAGTTGTTAATTACTTAATATTAATTATTACTCTTATTCTTTCCATTAAGATAATTCATATTTATATTATTTAACTTATAAAATAAGTTCTTCATTTCTTTATCTATATTCTAATATATTATTATTTTCTTTTTCTTATTATTAAAACTCTAACCTTTTTACTTCTTCTAATTTATTTGCATATTATGAAGTTATCTATTATAATTCAGATCTCCACATTTAATTTTATTTTTCTTTTGATATTTTAATGATATCATTATTTTTAGTTGATAAAACAGTAGATTACTTTAATTCTTAAATTTCTCTATCCTTCATTTCTAATTTCTATTGTAATTGATTAATAGTATCAGACAATTCATTTTTCTATTTTATTAATATAAATTTATTACATTTGTTAAAGCTTCTTCTAATTCATTCTCTAATTACTATTGTACATTTTTAAACTCTTCTATTTCTTATTCTAAACTTTGTTCCCTATTTTTAGAATCTTCTAATTCTAACATGACATGAGCCAATTGTTTTTTTAATTCTTCATTTTCTTATTCTTATTCTACCATCATATTATCAATTTCTTCAAGAAATGCTTTATGTTCTTCTTCAGCTTTTTCTAATTTAACTTTATATTAATGTTCTGAACTACTAAGATTACTATTACTGGATTCCATTCTAACCTATTAAAGCAATTTGACTTATTATTATTCTAATTTTTATATAATCTCATCTTTCATTTCAATTTCCATTTTTAGTTATAAACTTAATTACTATAAATAATATGTATTAATTCTTACTTCATAATCTACATTTTAATTAATTTATGGAGTATTTGTAACTTTCATAGCTCTCATTCCAAAAGTAAGACTAGATAGAGTTTCTTCAACATGTCTACCAGCAGGACCAATATTCACAATTAATGCAGTTTTACAATTACCACCAAGAGCATCTTATAGAATTCTAGTTAATTTAGAATCTCTAAATGGAACAAATGTAGATTTTGGACCAGTCAAAGCATGAATACATTTTCCTAATGCTGTAAGTGAATAATTGATAGATCTAGCTTCACTAAGACGATCTCCTGTAGCTCTTGATTTTTTGATTCTTTCACTTCCTGCTAAATCAACAAGATATAATGTTCCAACACAATTACCTGATNATTCTTTAATTAGAGTAATTTATTTTTAAATTTCAAAATATTCTACTTAAATTTTATTAAGATGTTCATTTTTTGTATCTAATTCTTGTTAATAGGTAAATTCATTTTATTATTAATGTTCTTATTACTTTTTTAATTTGATTTCATTTTATTCAAGCCTTTTTGTAATTTCATTATTGATTGTTTCAAGATCTTTAATTTAAATTAATAATTAAGATTATTCTTATTAAAATACTTCTTTTTATTTTTGTATATATTCATCAAGTTATTAATTACTATATATTAATTATTACTCTTATTCTTTCCATTAAGATAATTCATATTTGTATTATTTAACTTATAAAATAAGTTCCTCATTTCGTTATCTATATTCTACTATATTATTATTTTCTTTTTCTTATTATTAAAATTCTAATCTTTTTACTTCTTCTAATTTATTTGCATATTATGATGTAATCTATTATAATTCTGATCTCCACATTTAATTTTATTTTTCCTTTGATATTTTAATTACATCATTATTTTTGGTAGATAAGTAAGAAGATTATTTAAGTTCTTAAATTTCTTTATCCTTCATTTCTAATTTCTATTGTAATTAATTAATAGTATCTGCAAATTCATTCTTCTATTATATTAATAAAATTGTATTACATTTGTTAAAGCTTCCTCTAATTCATTCTCTAATTACTATTAAACATTCTTAAACTCTTCTATTTCTTATTCCAAAGATTGTTCTCTATTTTTGTAATCTTCCAATTCTTACATAACTTAACCTAATTGTTTTTTAAGTTCTTCATTTTCTTATTCTTATTCTACCATCATATTGTCAATTTCTTCTAAAAATGCTTTATGTTCTTCTTCAGCTTTTTCTAATTTAGCTTTATATTGATGATCTGAACTACTAAGATTACTGTTACTAGATTCCATTCTTACTTATTAGAGATATTTGATTTATTATTATTCCAATTTTTATATGATTTCATCTTTCATTTCAATTTCCATTTTTAGTTATAAACTTAATTACTATAAATAATATGTATTAATTCTTACTTCATAATCAACATTTTAATTAATTTATGGAGTATTTGTAACTTTCATAGCTCTCATTCCAAAAGTAAGACTAGATAGAGTTTCTTCAACATGTCTACCAGCAGGACCAATATTCACAATTAATGCAGTTTTACAATTACCACCAAGAGCATCTTATAGAATTCTAGTTAATTTAGAATCTCTAAATGGAACAAATGTAGATTTTGGACCAGTCAATGCATGAATACATTTTCCTAATGCTGTAAGTGAATAATTGATAGATCTAGCTTCACTAAGACGATCTCCTGTAGCTCTTGATTTTTTGATTCTTTCACTTCCTGCTAAATCAACAAGATATAATGTTCCAACACAATTACCTGATTATAATATACTTTCATCAGTTTCTGTTATCATATCTTAAGAATAATTTTATAATTTGGAACTTGGTTTTTTTGAAATAGTCATAGATCTTGAATGTTATTTAGATTATCTCTTCTCTACTTTGATTACAAGCATAGAATGAGATCTAGATGAATGAGCATTTAAATTAGTGAATGCAACTACTTTATTTTTTTCTGCAAAATTCATAATACTTAGACATTCTTAAGGAGATTCAACTTCCATCCATTCTAATCCTGATACAAATACACCATTATCTGGACATTCTCTTATTTTCACATCTTAATTATCAGGTCTTATTAAATCAAGTAACTAAATTTATTATCTAAACAATACCATTTCCATATATATTTACAAATAACCCAATTACACAGTGTATATGTTATTAGTGTCTGCTTGAATTTCATTAAATATTTATTCAAAAGTACGTGGAGTGATACCCTTCTCATCAGAATCCAGTTTACCCATCATGGTGTATGTTTTACCTGTTCCAGTTTGACCATAACAAAATATAGTACCATTAAAGCCTTTGATTACACTCTAAATTTATTATAGATTATTATAAGTATACTCCAACAACTCCTTTTGCTATATCATTGTAAACCTAATTTTAAGATGCTTTTGAATCAAAAATTGTATCAAATTGAAATTATCTTTTCTCAAAATCCTTCTTGACTAATATATATATATAGAAATATTTACTTATGATCAATTTTTTATTTGGATCGATAGTTTCAACACAAATGGATTTATCTTTACAAATTAATTCCTCTTCAATTAAAGGACGAAGTCGAACTGCTACTTTAACTCTTTCAGACATTTGAGTTTAAATTTAAAATAAT